ACGGGGTACAATGCCAATTAGAGGTTAATGTCCCACATTTGTGGCTTTTTAAATTGCAATTAGTGTCAGTGTATAAAGTCAGTGATTTTGTTAGCTCTCACGTGGAAGCACTGACTAGGCTAGATACTGAGCCATGGGGATCAGAAAAGAACTGTCAAAAGTCCTGCGTAACAAGGTAATGGAACTTTATAAAGATGGAAAACATCATAAAAAGACGTCCAAATCCTTGAATATGCCAATCATCACTTCCACTAAGAAGTAGAAAATTCAGGGACCTCTTGATACCAAGCCAAGTACAGGTAGACCAAGAAAGATTGCATCCACAACTGCCAGTTGAACTGTTCGGGATACAAAAGGTAGGTAACCACAAGAACCCCCATGGCAAAATTATTTTTTTATAATTTTGGAGTGGGAGATCCCCTCAAAATCCATACGAGACCTGAAGGGCTTGGTATGGATGGGAGGGGGGACCCCACACCAGTTTTTTATTTTCTTCATTGCCGGCAATTCTTTTACATTCAGCTGTCAGTGGGGAACCCCGCTGACAGCTGAAACTAACACATGGTTGTCACTACTAAAATACCGCATGACCTGATAAAAAGAACTCACGCCGTATTCTAGTAGCGTTTACTTTTTTTCTGCCCTCCGGAACGGATTAATTGGTTTTCAATGCATTCCTATGGGAAACGGCGTTACGGTTTATGAATTTTTCACTATACGAAAAGTCCCGCACACGTACATAAATACTAAAAAGGATTTTAATTATGCACCAGAGTTACCCACCCCCACACTACATCTTCCAAACGAATGACGGCCAGCATCACTGAGCCAAGGCCATCAAGGACCATCTTCCACCGTGCGAAAGCCATTTTGAACCCCACCCTGCCTGAGACTACACAGTGAAAGGAGAAGTAGCACAGTGAGAAGTCTCTCTCTCTCTCGGTCACTGTTTTCTCCGCCTATCACCATGCTTTTTGTTAGTAAAATGCACCAACTGGCTCCTTGTGCTGCTTCTCCCTCCCAAAGTCTGAGCTCTGCTGTATTGCAAGGGGCTAGAACCAGATTCAGTTAACTACAATGCTTGTACTTTAAAGAATAGCTATTTTGTGTCTTTTATATCTACCTAGTGTTCAGCTTTAACTACTTGCCGTCCGGCCGCTGTATATAAACGACCGGACGGTGGCAGTCCAGGGGCAGGTTCATAAACGACGCCAGCCATTTTGGACTGTGCGCGCTCCCTGGGAGCGTGCAGCACCGCGATCCGGTGCCAGCTGTACCACAGTTGAACAGCGATCGTCGTACGGGACCTCTGGACGAGGTCCCAATCATGTGATCACTGATTGGCCAATCAGTGATCACATGCAGAGTAGTAAGCAAGATGTCACTTCTGACATCATTGCTTACTACGTGTGAAATCTGTGATCACAGAGGTCACATGGTACAGGGCTATTCACAACAGCCTTGTACCATGTGACAAGCTGTGACCAATCACAGCTCACACAGTAGTTCTCAATGGCTGCAAGAATGCAGCCAGAGAGAAGGAGAAATGATTGCTTTTAGAGCCTTTATGGGTGTAAAAGCAATCAGTGTAAAAAAAAAAAAAAAATCTTCATCACCCCCCCATAACTAGTACCATGTCACTACGGGGGGACACACTGTACTGCTAGGGTGACGGTATGTTAAAAAAAAAAAATTATATATATATATAAAAAAATAAAATACCATAAAACATTTTTTACAAATTATAATTTGTGGCTATAAACTAATTTGGGTTTTTCTTAAATTACTAAAAAGATAACGGAATAAATTTTGGCCAAGATTTATGATGAAATATTATTTATTTGCAAAATTTTATAAGTAACACTTTTTTTTCAAAATGTTTGGACTTTTTCATTTATATAGCAAAAAAAGTAAAAATCCCAGTGGTGAATACATGAATAAATACCACCAAAATAAAGCTTTATCTGTCTAAAAAAATGTCCTATAGGTGCAGTGTCGCATGACCGCGCAATTGTCATTCAAAGTGTGACAGCGCTGAAAGCTGACAAATTGGCCTGGACTTGGAAGGGGGGGGAAAAGTGTCCGGACTTGGAAGGGGGGGGAAAAGTGTCCGGACTTGGAAGGGGGGGGGAAAGTGTCCGGACTTGGAAGGGGGGGGGAAAAGTGTCCGGACTTGGAAGGGGGGGGAAAAGTGTCCGCACTTGGAAGGGGGGGGAAAAGTGTCCGCACTTGGAAGGGGGGGGGGAAAGTGTCCGCACTTGGAAGGGGGGGGGGAAAGTGTCCGCACTTGGAAGGGGGGGGGGAAAGTGTCCGCACTTGGAAGGGGGGGGGGAAAGTGTCCGCACTTGGAAGGGGGGGGGGAAAAGTGTCCGCACTGGAAGGGGGGGGGGAAAGTGTCCGCACTTGGAAAGGGGGGGGGGGGGGGTGTCCGCACTTGGAAGGGGGGGGGGGGAAAGTGTCCGCACTGGAAGGGGGGGGGAAAGTGTCCGCACTTGGAAGGGGGGGGGGGGGGGGGAAAGTGTCCGCACTTGGAAGGGGGGGGGGGGAAAGTGTCCGCACTTGGAAGGGGGGGGGGAAGTGTCCGCACTTGGAAGGGGGGGGGGAAAGTGTCCGCACTTGGAAGGGGGGGGGAAGTGTCCGCACTTGGAAGGGGGGGGGGAAAGTGTCCGCACTGGAAGGGGGGGGGAAAGTGTCCGCACTTGGAAGGGGGGGGGGAAAGTGTCCGCACTTGGAAGGGGGGGGGAAAGTGTCCGCACTTGGAAGGGGGGGGGGGAAGTGTCCGCACTTGGAAGGGGGGGGGGAAAGTGTCCGCACTTGGAAGGGGGGGGGAAAAGTGTCCGCACTTGGAAGGGGGGGGGAAAGTGTCCGCACTTGGAAGGGGGGGGGAAAGTGTCCGCACTGGAAGGGGGGGGGGAAAGTGTCCGCACTTGGAAGGGGGGGGGGAAAGTGTCCGCACTTGGGGGGGGGGGGGAAGGGGGGGGGGGGGGAAAGTGTCCGCACTGGAAGGGGGGGGAAAGTGTCCGCACTTGGAAGGGGGGGGGGAAAGTGTCCGCACTTGGAAGGGGGGGGGGAAAGTGTCCGCACTTGGAAGGGGGGGGGGAAAGTGTCCGCACTTGGAAGGGGGGGGGGGGAAAGTGTCCGCACTTGGAAGGGGGGGGGGGGGAAGTGTCCGCACTTGGAAGGGGGGGGGGAAAGTGTCCGCACTTGGGGGGGGGGGTGGGGGGGGGGGGAAGTGTCCGCACTTGGAAGGGGGGGGGGAAAGTGTCCGCACTTGGAAGGGGGGGGGGAAAGTGTCCGCACTGGGGGGGGGGAAGGGGGGGGGGGGGAAAGTGTCCGCACTTGGAAGGGGGGGGGGAAAGTGTCCGCACTTGGAAGGGGGGGGGGAAAGTGTCCGCACTTGGAAGGGGGGGGGGGGTGGAAAGTGTCCGCACTGGAAGGGGGGGGGGGAAAGTGTCCGCACTTGGAAGGGGGGGGGGAAAGTGTCCGCACTTGGAAGGGGGGGGGAAAGTGTCCGCACTTGGAAGGGGGGGGGGAAGTGTCCGCACTTGGAAGGGGGGGGGGGAAAGTGTCCGCACTTGGAAGGGGGGGGGGAAAGTGTCCGCACTTGGAAGGGGGGGGGGAAAGTGTCCGCACTTGGAAGGGGGGGGGGGAAAGTGTCCGCACTTGGAAGGGGGGGGGGAAAGTGTCCGCACTGGAAGGGGGGGGGGAAAGTGTCCGCACTTGGAAGGGGGGGGGGGAAAGTGTCCGCACTGGAAGGGGGGGGGGAAAGTGTCCGCACTGGAAGGGGGGGGGGAAAGTGTCCGCACTTGGAAGGGGGGGGGGAAAGTGTCCGCACTTGGAAGGGGGGGGGGAAAGTGTCCGCACTTGGAAGGGGGGGGGGGGGGAAAGTGTCCGCACTGGGAAGGGGGGGGGGAAAGTGTCCGCACTTGGAAGGGGGGGGGGAAAGTGTCCGCACTGGAAGGGGGGGGGAAAGTGTCCGCACTGGAAGGGGGGGGGAAAGTGTCCGCACTTGGAAGGGGGGGGGGGAAAGTGTCCGCACTGGAAGGGGGGGGGGAAAAAGTGTCCGCACTTGGAAGGGGGGGGGGAAAGTGTCCGCACTGGAAGGGGGGGGGAAAGTGTCCGCACTTGGAAGGGGGGGGGGGGAAAGTGTCCGCACTGGAAGGGGGGGGGAAAGTGTCCGCACTGGAAGGGGGGGGGGAAAGTGTCCGCACTGGAAGGGGGGGGGGGGGGGGAAAAGTGTCCGCACTTGGAAGGGGGGGGGGAAGTGTCCGCACTGGAAGGGGGGGGGGAAAGTGTCCGCACTTGGAAGGGGGGGGGGAAAGTGTCCGCACTTGGAAGGGGGGGGGAAGTGTCCGCACTTGGAAGGGGGGGGGGAAAGTGTCCGCACTGGAAGGGGGGGGGGAAAGTGTCCGCACTTGGAAGGGGGGGGGAAAGTGTCCGCACTTGGAAGGGGGGGGGGGGGAAGTGTCCGCACTTGGAAGGGGGGGGGGGGGAAAGTGTCCGCACTTGGAAGGGGGGGGGGGGGGGAGGGGGGTGCGGAAAGTGTCCGCACTTGGAAGGGGGGGGGGGGAAAGTGTCCGCACTTGGAAGGGGGGGGGGAAAGTGTCCGCACTTGGAAGGGGGGGGGGAAAGTGTCCGCACTTGGAAGGGGGGGGGGAAAGTGTCCGCACTTGGAAGGGGGGGGGGGGGGGAAAGTGTCCGCACTTGGAAGGGGGGGGGAAAGTGTCCGCACTTGGAAGGGGGGGGGAAAGTGTCCGCACTTGGAAGGGGGGGAAAGTGTCCGGGCTGGAAGGGGGGGAAAGTGTCCGGGCTGGAAGGGGGGGAAAGTGTCCGGGCTGGAAGGGGGGGGGGGGGGGAAGTGTCCGGGCTGGAAGGGGGGGGGGGGGAAAGTGTCCAGACTTGGAGTAGGTAAAGGTTTTACATGCAAATACATAAAAACAAAACAAGGCAAAACAGTAATCTGCACAAAGGATGTGATTGGACCGGTGATGAGGACTCACCTGCAGGAGCCAGTAGCAGCGGCGGTGAAAGGTGGGGACGATGGAGGAGTGGACATAGCACCCATATAGACACTGCAGAGACACAAGAGTCACACGTCATAAATGTCCAATGGAGACCAGAGATTTATATACCCGGCCAACCCTTAGAAAACGCACAATGGAAACCAGAGATTTATACACCCCAACACCCCACCCTTCAACCCACCAAGTCCTCTCAATATTTATACCCTCTGCCGTAATACCATGACCATGGGGACCGAGGGTAGCCTCACCTCCATGCCCTGCACCTTCAGCTTCATGTGGTCTTCCCGCGTGGTCTTGCCGTCTTTCCTTTTCTTCCAGCAGTAGCCATCTTTGCGATATTTCACCTTCTTGCGGTTGTAAAGGATGATGGAGCCGTTCTGTGGTCTGCAGAGAGACGGGGAAAAAGTCCGAGGTCATTAGAAGTGTTACATTTATAGGGGTGGAGCTGAACTTAACCACCTTACCCCCCCCCACCCCCCCCCCCCCCAACCCCCCCCCCCCCCCCCCCCCCCCCCCCCCCCCCCCCCCCCCCCCCCCCCCCCCCCCCCCCCCCCCTCCCCCCCCCCCCCCCCCCCCCCCCCCCCCCCTTACCCCCCCCCCCCCCCCCCCCCCCCCCCCCCCACCCCCCCCCCCCCCCCCCCCCCCCCCCCCCCACACAGGCCAATTCTGACATTTCTCACATACATGCAAAAATCTGCATTCTTTTTGCCAGAAAATTTATTTAGAACCCCGAACATATGTTTTTTGAAAGCAGAGGCCTGGAAAATAAAACGGTCATTACATTTTTTTTTTATTTATTTATTTTTTTTTTTAACTTCACACAGTATTTGCGCAGCCATTTTTAAAAATGCAAAACTTTAGGAAAAAAAAAAAAAAAAACACTAATGAATTTTAGGGAACACAAACACAACGTAATGGCCAATTTTTGGTAAAATATAAAAGATGATGTTACGCCGAGTAGATAGAGACCCAACATGTCAAGCTTTAAAATTGCATACATCTGTGGAATGACGACAAGCTAGGCTACCTAAAATTCTCCACAGGAAGCACTTTAAAAGCCTTTACAGGTCACCAGTTTAGTTACACAGGAGGTCTGGTGCTAGAATTATTGCACTTGCTCTGATGTTCACACGTGTTGTGTGATCGCGGTTTACATATTTGTGCATGAACATGGGGGCGCTTTAAAGTTGTTGTTTTTTTTTTTTTAACTTAAAACTTTTTTTTTTCCTCCACTGTCCCTTTTTATAAAATCAACTTTATTGCTATCACAAGGGATGAACAACCCTCCCATGTGATAGCAATAAGCATGACCGCTCCTCTTTATGGAGAGATCTATTAGACCCCAAATCCATCCTCTGCCCTGAAAGCATCTGATCAAACCGAGATCGATTTGACCTGATGCTTTATAAGCCGGTAACATCATACCAGGGAGGCGGGTATGGAAGTACCTTCCTCCCATCTCCGTGTACACGGACACCAAGCAACGACGCTACTTGGAGAGGGTGGCGTTACGAGATGCAGTTCCGGCTGCAATACTCCGCTGTCCTTCAGTGATACTCCCTGCAGTAACTCTCCCTGAGGTCATCACAGAGGACAAGGGGGCGCTCTTTACATCTGGAGGAAAAGAGAATTAATCCATACACGGAAAGGTTTCTTCACAGTAAGAGCTGTGAAAATGTGGAATAGACTCCCTCAAGAGTTGGTTGTGGCCAGCTCAGTGTATTGCTATAGGAAAGTCCTGGATCCTTTCTTGGATACACAGAATATAACTGGATATAACATTTATAGGGAATGTTGATCCAGGGAATATCCGATTGCCTCTCGGGGGATCAGGAAGGTATTTTGTTTCCCTGCAGGAGAAAATTGGATCGTGCTTTGCTGGGTTTGTCTTGCATTCCTCTGGATCACCTGTGGGTATAGGATTAGAACTTTTTTTCTTCTATGGTTGAACTGGATGGACTTTTGTCTTTTTTTCAGCCAGACTGACTGTGTAACTCCTTTCTACCACTAGAAGCTGGGTTAGTATTCAACCTGGAAGACTTATGCCGCCCATAGACGGGTCGAAAATCGGCCAAAAAAAAAAAAATAGGCCGATTTTCGCACCGTTAATGGGTTAAATTGGTCGGCCATTTTTGCACTTTTTTTTTTTTTTTTTATCGGTCATGTTGGAAAATCCGCGGCTGATTTTGACAATGGGAGGAGGAGGAGGAAGGAGGAGGAGGAGGAGGAGAAGAGGAGGAAGGAGAAGAGGAGGAAGGAGAAGAGGAGGAAGGAGGAAGAAGGAGAAGAGGAAGGAGGAGGAAGAAGAAGAAGAGGAAGGAGGAGGAAGAAGAAGAAGAGGAAGGAGGAGGAAGAAGAAGAAGAGGAAGGAGGAGGAAGAAGAAGAAGAGGAAGGAGGAGGAAGAAGAAGAAGAGGAAGGAGGAGGAAGAAGAAGAGAAGAGGAAGGAGGAGGAAGAGGAAGAAGGAGGAGGAAGAGGAAGAAGGAGGAAGAAAAAGGAAGAGGAGGAAGAAAAAGGAAGAGGAGGAAGAAAAAGGAAGGGGAGGAAGAAAAGGAAGAGGAGGAAGAAAAGGAAGAGGAGGAAGAAAAAGGAAGAGGAGGAGGAAGAAGAGGAGGAAAAGGAAGAGGAGGAGGAAGAGGAGGAGGAGGAAGAGGAGGAGGAGGAGGAGGAGGAAGAGGAGGAGGAAGAGGAGGAGAAGGAGGAGGAAGAGGAGAAGGAGAAGGAGGAGGAAGAGGAGAAGGAGAAGGAGGAGGAAGAGGAGGAGAAGGAAGAGGAGGAAGGAGGAAGAGGAGGAGGAAGAGGAGGAGGAAAAAGAGGAGGAAGAGGAAGAAGAAGAGGAAGAAAGAGGAGGAAGAAAGAGGAGGAAGAAAGAGGAGGAAGAAAGAGGAGGAAGAAAGAGGAGGAAGAAAGAGGAGGAAGAAAGAGGAGGAAGAAAAAGGAGGAAGAAAAAGGAGGAAGAAAAAGGAGGAAGAAAAAGGAAGAAGAGGAGGAGGAGAGAGGAGGAGAAAGAGGAGGAAGAGGAAGAGGAAGGAGGAGGAAGAGGAAGAGGAGGAGGAGGAGGAAGGAGGAGGAAGAGGAAGGAGGAAGGAGGAGGAAGAGGAAGGAGAAAGGAGGAGGAAGGAGGAGGAAGGAGGAAGGAGGAAGGAGGAGGAAGGAGGAGGAAGAGGAAGGAGGAGGAAGAGGAAGGAGGAGGAAGAGGAAGAGGAAGGAGGAGGAAGAGGAAGAGGAGGAAGAGGAAGAGGAGGAAGAGGAAGAGGAGGAAGAGGAAGAGGAAGGAGGAAGGAGAAGGAAGAAGAGGAAGAAGTCGTCCGCTATTATATTTTATATGAAGAAGTCTTGCGGTTGCAACAAAGAAGTCCACTATTAAAGTCTTGCGGTTGCAACAAATGTATCCATTTGTATCCAAATAAAAACATAGTAATCCAAATAATGTATTTGTATTGCTGTCACATTGTGTGGTGCGCTCCCCTGTCTCTGCAAGGGACAGAAGTTATGGGGTTAATGCTGGCCACAGACGGGTCGAAAATCGGTCGCTTTATCTTTAACGTTGGTGGTAACGTCGGCCGATCGAGCGACCGATTTTTTTGTTTTATTTTTTAAAAATTGGCTGATGCTCGACCAGTCTATGGCCTGCTTAAGGACACACTATAAGTACAGGGTGTCATGGACCGCACCCTCCACCTGGCCTCCTTCATTCACAACTTTCTGCTTAAAGTGGTGGACCTTCATCCTCCCGATCCAATTGATATCATTGTACCCCCCCTTCCCCCTCCTCTCACACAATCAAATTTTTTTAAAATGTTGTTTAGCAATCTTTGTACCTTTTTCAGGGAACATAACTCTGCACTTCCTTTATTCTTGCTTAGGCGAGAACATTGCTTGCAGCACCAGCAGCCTCCTGGGAGACATATTCATGCATTGCACAAGACCACAGGTATTCTAATGCGGATTCATGGCTCTGTCCATCGGAAGCCTGGCTGCCTCTTACTGGTTTTTGAAGGCAGCGCTCTGAAGATGCATTCCGGTGTGTATCATCAGGAGACCGGCCGCAAGAACCCGGGAAAAGACAGCCAGCCTCCCAGTTACAGCTGTGAGATCTGATGTATTGCAGTGGTGCGGCCAGTCCCACTGCTGGATCCCTGGGTGTGGGCATGTTTTCAGTGCAAAAACTGAGCAAAAAAAGCGGAAACGGGGTGGAGAAATGAAGAGGAACCTGCCCATTATGTAACTAAAAGGTGCAGGGTCAGGTGCAGACCCATTATTAAAAGCTAAACCAGGAGGGAGTACATTGAAACCTCTCTTCAGTAAGGTATTCTAATGACAGCATATTCAGACTCTATACAGAAGGTACAATCAGACTTTTTCAAGTTATCCAGAATGCTACACCCCAAACAGATCACAAAACAGAGTGTGATTACAAGAATCAGATTGCTGGGGTGCGAACACCCTTGCAATTTAATTTTGGTGCAACAAAAAAAAAACAAAAAAGAAATACAAAAAACAAAAAGGTTCCTGGACCTTTACGGTGCAGGTGCGGTGCGAATTGAGTGAATACAAAATGAATGGGCCTAAACTGCACTGCAAAGAATCGCATGTGATTTGAGCAGAAATATGGTGTCCGAATCATATGCGATTTCCCGCACCTCTATAGTGTGAATCCAACCTAACTGCTCATGCTCCTGCCAAATGCACAATATGAAAAACACATGGGTGGGGGGGCACACATACACCACTGCAAACGGAGTGCGCACAAACAAGGCAGAGCCCAGGGTGGGGGGTGTAGTGAATTCAGGGGGGTGAAGCATAGTGGATGTAGCCTAAAGCGGATCTTCATGTTTAACCACCTCCCATCCGGCCATTGTATATAAACGGCCGGACGGACGGTGGCAGTACAGGGACGAGTGGCTGTTTATAAACGGCCTCCCCGCCCCCTGCTTGTGCGTGCTCCCTGGGAGCGTACAGCACCGCGATCCGGTGCCCGCTGTGTCCTCCAGACACAGTGGAACACCGATCGTCAGACGGGACCTCTGAGCGAGGTCCTGATCATGTGATCACTGATTGGCCAATCAGTGATCACATGCAGAGTAGTAAGCAAGATGTCACTGCTGACATCATTGCTTACTACGTGTGAAATCTGTGAATGATCACAGAGGTCACATGGTACAGGGCTATTCACAACAGCCTTGTACCATGTGACAGGCTGTGACCAATCACAGCTCACACAGTATTTCTCAATGGCTGCAAGAATGCAGCCAGAGAGAAGAAGAAATGATTGCTTTTACAGCCTTTATGGGTGTAAAAGCAATCAGTGTAAATAAAAAAAAAAAATCTTCATCACCCCAACAAGTAGTACAGTGTCACCATGGTGACACTGTACTGCTAGGGTGACAGTATGTAAAAAAAAAAAAAAAAAACCTGGATATGCGCAAATGGACGGCACTATATAAGTACCTGAAATAAATAAAGGTCCGGACTGGAAGTGGTTAATGTCCCTTGATATATTTTGTGTGGGCCTACCAAACTATTTTCGACACTAACAGGTGTGCTGTATTACCTGTATGTAGCCTGAGCTCCATACAGTATACAGCTCTGTGCTCCAGTAGTGAGAAGAGAATGTCCCGTCCCATTCCCGGAACAAAACTGCCTCATTTCTTTGGAGGGAAAAACCTGGATCATATGGCCAGCTTAAGACTGTCATTGCCTGACCCCATGGGGAACATCATCACACAGAGTACTATTGCACTGATTGGCGCACAAACATTACAAAAGCATGTTCAGTGCAGCAGTAAGGACCACCCACCACTGCTGGAGGATAGGAAGGACCTTTGATGTCAATGGACAGGCCAGAAGACCCTTGGATATATAAGGGCCGGAGGGGGGGATTTCATAAAATACAGTCCTGCTTCAAGGGCATGCTCTGCAATGTTCCCCATGTACTGATGAGGAAGAGAAATCATTGGGTCACCATAGCTGGTTTTGGAAGGAAAAAAATGTCACCAGCACACCAAGGATCACCAAAATGGGTCCAAAGGTTTCAATAAACGATCACAGAAAGGCAACGTTTCGGCGTCTCGCAGGACCCCTTCATCAGGCATGTGACTCCGAAACGTTGCCTTTCTGTAACTATGTGATCATTTATTAAAACCTTTGGACCCATTTTGGTGATCCTCGGTGTGCTGGTGACATTTTTTCCTCGCTGATTTTGTTCGGTTCCAGCCGACGGTCGCTGCAGCACCCCACTTATACACACAACCATTTTTAACGCAGGAACGTGTACGTTTGGATTGTAAGTTTGCATACCTGGTTTTGGGGGCACAAGAAAGCCATTCGTCATGTTTCTCGAAGGTAATAAGGTAAGAGGCGATCTCCTGCAGAAAACACAGAAAGAGCTGAAGGTGAGTGAGGAGGTGCAGGCGACATGACAGAAATACGGGAAGGACAAAGGAGCAGCACTACAGCTAGACACAGAGGGGTTTATTTACTAAAGCTGGAGAGTCCAAAATCAGACTCCCTTCTGCATAGAAACCAATCAGCTTCTAACCTCAGCTTGGTCAATGAAGCTTTGGCAATGAAACCTGGAAGCTGATTGGTTTCTATGCAGAAGGGAGTCTGATTTTGGACTCTCCAGCTTTAGTAAATAAACCCCAGAACGTCTCCAAAGGTGATCTATCATGAGCGAAAAATAGACGATTGTATTACGGACCTCTGAAAATGCCAACTACCATCTGTTTCTGGTTATTAATTTCTGGTTTACCATCTTGCAGCAAATATGTGGCTAGTGAAGCAAATACAGCCTATGTGTTTCTCTCATTAAAGGGCCACTACCCCAAAGGTGATATAGTCATGCATGAAGACTTGAGGGCTGATTTTTTATATGCCCTGGATACCCACAAAGTGAGATCTCCCTGCATTAGTTCCTGACTCTGCTCCTGTCCACCTGAGAGTTTTAAATGGGCACATTAGTTGTACAGACCCAGGAACCCAGTGCACAGATCTCACCCACAGATCGCCTGAAAATGATCAGTCTTGGGTGTACAGACCCTTTAATATTGGAAATCTAAATGCCCATGTATATTCAGGCTGCTTTCACACTGCAATGCATATATTTTCACACTGCAGTGCTTCTAAAATGCACTATGCAATTTTACAAATAGCACAGCGCGTTTTAAATGCGTGGAATTACAGTGCATATGCGCAATAGCTGGTTGCTAAGGACGCTGTCGCGTGCCGGCTCCTTAACAATCGGCTATTCATTGGTTGTTAAGGACACTGGCAGGTGGTTGTTAAGCAGCTGGAACCCGCCGGCATCCTTAACCAGTGGTGAAGCCTCCCCCTTAGTAGTCAGAGAGCTCCAAAAGGGTGCCGGCTCCTTAACAATCGGCTATTCATTCGTTGTTAAGGACACTGGCAGGTGGTTGTTAAGCAGCTGGAACCCGCCGGCATCCTTAACCAGTGCTGAAGCCTCCCCCTTAGTAGTCAGAGAGCTCCAAAAGGAGCTTGCTACCAGAGGAAAGAAGGAGGAGGCAGACAACAGGCAGAAGGAGCAGCCGAGAGCAACAGCCATAATGTGAGGGGGCGATTGGCTAGAATGTGAGATAAATAGAGCTCCGATCGAAAGAGGCGTATATCCTGAGGATACGCCAATAGGAGGAGCTTGCACGACCAACATTCTGACGTCATATCCGGCGTGGGCGCCATCTTGGTGCTCCGTTTTGTCCCCACACACAGTACACCCATTGAGTGTTGTGAAAGCCTTTCACATTTGGATGTTTAAGGAGGGAGTCTCACCATCACTACTGAGGGAATTCGCCATCTTAAACGGAGGAACCCAGGGAGATTTTATAGCCCATTGGTCCATGCGGGCCTGGGCAGGAAGGTGAGGGGGCACCCCAGATATTGGGGATTGGCACCTATCGTCTATGTTTGCATGAAGATTTGTCTTCACACCTGTCTCCCCATTTCTGGACAATTCATTTCTATTTAAATCATTTTATGTCTATGTGTTTATTATCTATACCATCTAGGTGTCTTAATAGTATACCTGCAGGGGCACATTCACCACCCAGCACCTATTGATTTTGCATTGTGTGTCACTATTCACCTGGGGGTGTGTGAGTGTATGTCCCGTTCCACCGCCCCCCTTTCACGCTTGCTATTTCATGGTATGACCGTTGATATGTAGGCATTTTTACAGCGCTGCACTATTTATGTGTATTTTATTCCTTTTTCATTTTGCCGTGGGTATGGCATTCAAGTGCTAGCTGCTTAGTAGTTATATTTGCATGGTAGCGCAGGAGTTACTTTTTGCTTTTCAATGTGAGGGGGGCTGCCAGACCGAAAGAACTGGATGACAAGATTGCAGGACTTCCATGGTGCCCTTGCCAATCGGCAAGGGAATGAAGGGAGTGCGGGTGGGCATTGCATATCTATCTGATTGTTGAGAAAGCCGGCATGTGCCAGATCCACAACAATTAACTATTTACTGGTTGTTAAAGGATGCCAGTGGGTGCCAAATTCTTAACCAACATATTTTTGGCACTTCAAAAAAGCACCTAAAAATACACCCTGGATGCATTTTTTGATGCGGTTCTCATTGACTTCAATGCAATGTGCATCTTTCACGGCAAACACTCCTGTGCTGGGGATGGACTCAGCAGAGACTTGAATGACAATGTAAATGTTCTGGAATATGCACTGCTTGCTGCCCGCAACGGACCAGGGTAGTCCAAAATCACTGAATTCAAAAGAAAAACAAAAAAGAGGGCGCACCGGACTAGTGCAGTATCGTTTAAACTATTTAATGAAAGAAAAATAAGTAGGTATCATACTCACAATGGACATATAAAACACAGGCACAGCACAATGAACAAAAGTGTTCAATCCATAGATCATCCGAGTCCATGATGGTCACCCAGGGTTCCATCGCTGTGGACTCAGATGCTCTATGGATTGAACACACTTGTTCATTGTGCTGTGCCTGTGTTTTATATGTCCATTGTGAGTATGATACCTAGTTTTTTACTTTCATTAAATATTTTAACGATCATGCACTAGGCCGGTGCGCCCTCTTTGTTATTCTTTTGCAATGTGAATCTTTGGTGTGCTTTTGGAAAGCTACCCAAAGATGCAACATGCAGGACTTCTCAAACCGCACCTCAAACGCGGAGCAACAATGTGAAAAGTCTCTCGGGATTTAAAGGGAAATAATTTGGATGCGTTGGAACGGTGTGTTCTAAATCGGCATAAGCACATCAGCGGGGGAGGGGTCTTGGTGTACAACTGGTATTAGGCAGACGTCAGATGACAGGGTTCCTCGCAGCGACAGCAGCTCACCTCATTAGTGTTCCAGCGCAGCCTCTCCTTCGGTAAAGTAGTACACTTGGGTAAACACTCCAGCAGCTTCTTGGGTAGGAAAACCTTGATGTGGTGGCCGTTTTCTGCCAGGAAAAAATAAAGATCATCAGTCAGAATGTTGTTCCTGCAGCTCCCTGGAAGAAGATGTCCCTGCGGCTCCACTACAATTGAGTTTCTGTTCAGCAGGCCACACAGAAGGTGGGATTTGGTGGGGACAAAGGATGGAGTTGGGCTTTAGCCGCACATCCACCACTGCAAACTGAGTGCGCACAGACATTGAATAAGGCAGAGCCCAGGGTGGGGGGTGCAGTGAATTCAGGGGGGTGAAGCATAGTGGATGTAGCCTAAAGCGGATCTTCATGTTTAACCACCTCCCGTCTGGCCATTGTATATAAACGGCCGGACGGTGGCAGTGCAGGGAAGGGTGGCTGTTTATAAATGGCCTCCACGCCCCCCGCTTGTGCACGCTCCCTGGGAGCGCGCAGCAATGCGCTACGGTGCCCACTGTGTCCTCCGGACACAATGGTACACCGATCGTCGTACGGGACCTCTGTGCGAGGACCCAATCATGTGATCACTGATTGGCCAATCAGTGATCACATGCAGAGTAGTAAGCAAGATGTCACTTCGGACATCATTGCTTACTACGTGTGAAATCTGTGAATGATCACAGAGATCACATGGTACAGGGCCATTCACAACAGCCTTGTACCATGTGACCAGCTGTGACCAATCACAGCTCTAACAGTAGTTCTCAATGGCTTTGGAAGGAGAAATTATTGCTTTTTCAGCCTTTATGGGTGTAAAAGCAATCAGTGTGTAAAAAAAAAAAAAATCTTCATTACCCCCTACAAGTAGTACAGTGTCACCATGGTGATACTGTACTGCTAGGGTAACAGTATGATAAAAAAATAAAATAAAATTGTAAAAAAAAATGTTTAAAAATTATAATTTTTGGTTATAAACTAATTGGGTTATTTTTTTTAATCAAAAGATAACGGAATAAATTTTAGCCAAGATTTATGATGAAATATTATTTATTTGCAAAATTTTATAAGAAAAAACACTTTTCAAAATTTTGGGACTTTTTCATTTACATAGCAAAAAAAAAATAAAAATCCCAGTGGTGAATAAATACCACCAAAATAAAGCTTTATCTGTCTCAAAAAAATGCTAAAAAAATGCATATGGGTACAGTGTTGCATGACCGCGCAATTGTTATTCAAAGTGTGATAGCGCTGAAAGCTGAAAATTGGCCTGGGCAGGAAGGGGGGGGGGGAAAGTGTCCCGACCGGAAGGGGGGGGGGGAAAGTGTCGGGACCGGAAGGGGGGGGGGGGGGGGGGGGGAGTGTCCTGAACGGAAGGGGGGGGGGGGGGGGGGGGGGGGGAAGTGTCCCGACCGGAAGGGGGGGGGAAGTGTCCCGACCGGAAGGGGGGGGGGGGGGGAAAGTGTCCCGACCGGAAGGGGGGGGGGGGGGGGAAAGTGTCCCGACCGGAAGGGGGGGGGGGGGGGAAGTGTCCCGACCGGAAGGGGGGGGGGGGGGAAAGTGTCCCGACCGGAAGGGGGGGGGGGAAAGTGTCCCGACCGGAAGGGGGGGGGGGGGAAAGTGTCCCGACCGGAAGGGGGGGGGGGGGGAAAGTGTCCCGACCGGAAGGGGGGGGGGGGGGGAAAGTGTCCCGACCGGAAGGGGGGGGGGGGGGGGAAAGTGTCCCGACCGGAAGGGGGGGGGGGGGAAAGTGTCCCGACCGGAAGGGGGGGGGGGGGGGGGGGAGTGTCCCGACCGGAAGGGGGGGGGGGAAAGTGTCCCGACCGGAAGGGGGGGGGGAAAGTGTCCCGACCGGAAGGGGGGGGGGAAAGTGTCCCGACCGGAAGGGGGGGGGGAAAGTGTCCCGACCGGAAGGGGGGGGGAAAAGTGTCCCGACCGGAAGGGGGGGGGGGAAAGTGTCCCGACCGGAAGGGGGGGGGGAAAGTGTCCCGACCGGAAGGGGGGGGGGAAAGTGTCCCGACCGGAAGGGGGGGGGGGAAAGTGTCCCGACCGGAAGGGGGGGGGGGAAAGTGTCCCGACCGGAAGGGGGGGGGGGAAAGTGTCCCGACCGGAAGGGGGGGGGGAAAGTGTCCCGACCGGAAGGGGGGGGGGAAAGTGTCCCGACCGGAAGGGGGGGGAAAGTGTCCCGACCGGAAGGGGGGGGGGGAAAGTGTCCCGACCGGAAGGGGGGGGGGGAAAGTGTCCCGACCGGAAGGGGGGGGGGGGGAAAGTGTCCCGACCGGAAGGGGGGGGGGGGGGGGGGAAGTGTCCCGACCGGAAGGGGGGGGGGGGGGAAGTGTCCCAAACCGGAAGGGGGGGGGGGAAGTGTCCCGACCGGAAGGGGGGGGGGGGGAAGTGTCCCGACCGGAAGGGGGGGGGGGAAGTGTCCCGACCGGAAGGGGGGGGGGGGGGGGAAGTGTCCCGACCGGAAGGGGGGGGGGGGGGGAAAGTGTCCCGACCGGAAGGGGGGGGGGGGGAAAAAGTGTCCCGACCGGAAGGGCGGGGGGGGGAGTGTCCCGACCGGAAGGGCGGGGGGGGGAGTGTCCCGACCGGAAGGGGGGGGGGGAAAGTGTCCCGACCGGAAGGGGGGGGGGAAAGTGTCCCGACCGGAAGGGGGGGGGGAAAGTGTCCCGACCGGAAGGGGGGGGGGGAAAGTGTCCCGACCGGAAGGGGGGGGGGGGGGAAAGTGTCCCGACCGGAAGGGGGGGGGGGGGAAAGTGTCCCGACCGGAAGGGGGGGGGGGGGGAAAGTGTCCCGACCGGAAGGGGGGGGGGGGGGGGAAAGTGTCCCGACCGGAAGGGGGGGGGGAAAGTGTCCCGACCGGAAGGGGGGGGGAAAGTGTCCCGACCGGAAGGGGGGGGGAAAGTGTCCCGACCGGAAGGGGGGGGGAAAGTGTCCCGACCGAAGGGGGGGGGAAAGTGTCCCGACCGGAAGGGGGGGGGGAAAGTGTCCCGACCGGAAGGGGGGGGGAAAGTGTCCCGACCGGAAGGGGGGGGGAAAGTGTCCCGACCGGAAAGGGGGGGGAGAGTGTCCCGACCGGAAAGGGGGGGGAGAGTGTCCCGACTGGAAAGGGGGGGGGGGGGGGGGGAAGTGTCCTGACTGGAAGGGGGGGGGGGGGTGTTCCGACTGGAAGGGGGGGGGGGGGGGGGGGAAGTGTCCGGACTGGAGGGGGGGGGGGGGGGGGGTGTCCGGGGGGAGTGTCCGGACTGGAAGGGGGGGGGGGGGGGGGGAGTGTCCGGACTGGAAGGGGGGGGAAGTGTCCGGACTGGAAGGGGGGGGGGGGGGGAAGTGTCCGGACTGGAAGGGGGGGGGGGGGGGGGAAGTGTCCCGACTGGAAGGGGGGGGGGGGGGGGGGGAGTGTCCCGACTGGAAGGGGGGGGGGGGGGAGTGTCCCGACTGGAAGGGGGGGGGGGGGGGGAGTGTCCCGACTGGAAGGGGGGGGGGGGAGTGTCCCGACTGGAAGGGGGGGGGGAGTGTCCCGACTGGAAGGGGGGGGGGGGGGGGGGTGTCCCGACTGGAAGGGGGGGGGGGGGGGAGTGTCCCGACTGGAAGGGGGGGGGGGGGGGGAGTGTCCCCGACTGGAAGGGGGGGGGGGGGGAGTGTCCCGACTGGAAGGGTGGGGGGAAGTGTCCGGACTGGAAGGGGGGGGGGGGAAGTGTCCGGACTGGAAGGGGGGGGGGGGGGGAAGTGTCCGGACTGGAAGGGGGGGGGGGGGAAGTGTCCGGACTGGAAGGGGGGGGGAAGTGTCCGGACTGGAAGGGGGGGGGGGGGAAGTGTCCGGACTGGAAGGGGGGGGGGGGGGAAGTGTCCGACTGGAAGGGGGGGGGGGGGGGGGAAGTGTCCCGACTGGAAGGGGGGGGGAAGTGTCCGGACTGGAAGGGGGGGGGGGGGGGAAGTGTCCGGACTGGAAGGGGTTAACATCTACCTGCTCACCAGTGGCCTTTGGTCTTGAACAGCTGAAAGAAATCACCTGAAATAGTTGGATCCGACCCGAATGGACATAATACCGGATCCCACTCTGCCTGCTGTGGTGTTATCTGTCAGCCACTACTGCGTCTTATATGCATCCTATAGCAGGTGCCACCACAGCACACAGCGACGGGGTGGGGGGGGGGGGGGTTCAGGTATCTGAAGATTGTCAGAGTGGACGGTTGATCAGGTAAATCATTTTCTTTACAGATTTTACGATTTCATCAGCAGGAACAGAGCGCTTCTAGGACGGTGCTTGTTAAATGTAAAGCAGCATGGATATAATGTGGGTAGCTGTGGCCCTCAGAAACAATATATTCTGCTTACACTGGAGCACCTCTTGCTGGTCATATAATTCATATACACCGATTAGTGAGGACATTCTGACCACCGACAGGACAGGTAAAGTGGAAAACATTAACTCTCTTGTGATAATGACCTCTGAAAGTGGGCGGGATATCTTAGGCGGCAGGTGAACATATTGTCCCTAAAGCTGAGGTGTTGAAAGCAGAAAAAGCGAGCAATTGTAAGAATCTGAGGGACTCTGACAAGGTCTGGATGACTGGGTCAGGGGAACCCCCAAACTGTACCTCTTGTGGGAGATTCGTGGCCTGCAGTGGTCAGGACCGACTTAAAGTGATCCAAGGAAGGAAAACCTGTCAACCGGCAATGGGGTCAAGGGCGGCCAAGGCTCACTGATGCGTGTGGAGAGTGATGGAGGGTCTGTGTAGTCCGAGCCAACAGAAGAGCTATTGTAGCTCAAATTACTGACAAAGTGACTGCTGGTTCTGATAGAGAGGTGTCCGAACACACAGAGCATCATGGTGTGTTGTGTATGGGGCTGTGTAGCCGCAGACCGGTCAGGGTGACCATGACTCATATCCTCAGCCAAAAAGTGCCTACAATCGGCACGTGAGCATCAGAACTAGACCACACTGGAAGCAGGTCACTTAGAAGTGTTGACTTGGCCTCCAAATCACAATCGAGTGACTTAAATCAGATAGAACTGTTGTTCGGGTATTCTGAAAGCTGGTGGTGCTGACTGTCAACCTACAACACCCGCAGTGTGATATTCATCTATCAAATCCAGGGTGGATTTGATTTAAATGAAGTTGATTCAAAGCCGAGTTCCACTCACACTGTCAAAAAATAAAAGTCAGCAGCTACAAAAAACTGTAACTGCTGACTTTTAAAAAACAGCGACTTACCTGTCCCTCGGTCCCGCAGTGTGTCCTCCGCAGTCCGTTTCACTGGCTGTCCTGTATTTCTGGAGGGCGGCATCTTCAGTGTGGGCACCCGGCTGGGACAGCTTGTGGCTTCACAGCCGGGTACCCACTGCGCATGCGCGAGAAGCGCTGCACTTCATGAATGGTCCTGTAGTCTTCTGGGACCTTTCACGTGTCCCAAAAGACTACAGGGAGGGAGGAAAGGAGGACACCTTCTGTTTCTGATCGCCTAGGCGATCGGACCGGAAGTGGAAGCGGGTACCTGTCAAATTCGAGTACCCGCTCCCCCCCCCGCCCCGCAAAGGTGCCAATCCTTAAAGAAGAGCGGGGGGAGCAGTCCTTAAAGCGGAACTTCCCCTTTAGGGTGGAGCTCCACTTTAAATCACAATTTAAATCACTAGTGAAAAGGCTCGATTTAAATCACATCATACATTTTTAAAGAGCAGCTGTCATCTCGATCCCGCAGCGGTTCTTCCTCTGACCCGCTGTTGACTCACCGATAGTCCCAATCACTTTAATGGGACGGCTGGTGATGCGGCAGGGACACAACAAGGTGAGGGGACATGGCGGCAGCAGGGGAGTGGATGACCACTAAAAGGCGTTGCCATGATGGATCTAGAATGACAGGTGCTCTTTAAATGTAAGGAATCCGACTCATTCTCGCTGGCAGTTAGAATCTTTAATATTTGCAAACCAAATGAAGGTTTCCTTTTTAGAATAATAAGCCGTCAGGTTAGTAAAGCAGCGATGTCAGATCCGATTTTAAGTTGATCGCACATCGCTGGAGAACGACTCAAATTCTTTTATTTCATGTTTTTTCTCCTGGTTACGATGAAATTGTACGAATGCATCAATGCAGTGCGTGTCACCTCAGCTTGCATTCACTGAGCTTACCAAAAATGTAAATATTGCAGAATATACAGCCTCATACTACGTAACGAAGCTCCATTTCATGCTGAATATCTAAATTATTAATGTATCTTAAATAGAAAACTAGCTTTAGATAGATTTTTACTACAAAAGCATTTTCTTAAAATAAATTGGATTAAAAAAAAAAAAAAAAAAATCCGATTTTTTTTTTTTTTTTTTTTAATCATTGATTTTCATCCACCCTGATCAAATCTGTATGAAATGGATAGAAGAAACTTAGATTTTTCATTTTTTTTTTCCTGTTCAGCCTGCAGCCTATACAGTATGTATATGGGAAACTTGTAAGAGCCTCTGCACTTTAACCCCTCGCCTACCGCACACTTATACCCCCTTCCTGTCCAGGCCATTTTCCAGCTTTCAGCGCTGTCGCACTTTGAATGACAATTGTGCGGTCATGCAACACTGTACCCATATGAAATTATCATTTTTTTTCATAAATAGAACTTTCTTTTCGTGGTATTTAATCGCCGCTGGGTGCTTTACTTTTTGCGCTATAAACAAAAAAAGAGCAAAAAATTTAAAAAAAAGTTTCTTTGTTTCTATTATAAAATGTTTCTATTATAAAACTGCACTTTGCTCTCGCTCTGACAGCGTGAGGTAAGTGCAGCCGAGAACCGGTAACTGCATTTCCCTGTGATCAGCGTGTCATTGGAAGCGGCTGATCACATGGTAAAAGGCCGCTGTGATTATCCTCTTACCACGTGATCAGCTGTGTCCATGGGACACAGCGATCATGGAGATCGCCGGGGGCGCGCAGGAGAGCGTGTTCTGGAAGGTCGTCATATGACGGCCTCCCAGAACTGGCCAGCCGCAGTGCAGACGTCATTCGGCTATCTGCGGTCGGCAACTAGTTAAGGTTAGGTTCACATCTGTGCGGGTGGTGCAGCTGCGGATCCGCACGAAAATCCGCGCAACTGCACCACCTGCACAGAGGAATGCGGACCCTCGAGCGGGTACCATTAGTTCTAATGGCACGTCGCCCACACTGGAAAACGCAACCGTACTGGGAACCGAGGTTCCCATGCAGGATGTGTTTTCAGAAGAAGTGCAGGGAGTTCTTCCCTGCATGTCCTGGGGCACAGGAGTCCATTCAAATGAACAGGCTCTCGAGCCCGCACAAAACGCGGCACGCATGGCCCCCACATATATGAACTGGGGGTAATACCCAACCACACACAAACAGGGAGCTGTGGCTCGGCCCCACCTCCCTCTTCTCATTGGCTGTAACTGACAGCAGTGGGAGCCAATGGCTCAGCCAATGAGCAGAGGGAGTCCTGGGACAGCCAAGACTCCAGCACATGTCGCTCGATAGATCGAGAAGGGGCTTAGTTGAGTATTGGGGGGTTTGGGGGGGGGGGGGGGGGGGGGAGGACATTTTTAAAATTGGGCAAATGTAGGTAAATTAGGGATGTCACACAGAGGTTTTTTTACCTGCATGTATAGAACACACAGAATGTATGCAGGTAAAAATCCTTGAATCTTTACAACCATTTTAAAGCTGGCAGCAATCTCGCAGTAGCAGCTGGGAGCTTGCTTGAACCATTTAACCATTTGTCTACCCTGCCATTTAAAAATGTATATTGGTAGACAAGCAGTTCATTTATTTACAGTGCGGGATCCTGAAAAAGCCGAGGAGTGCATTCCTGCGAGAAATCTCTCCAGCACTGTACACCTTCACAAGGTTCGGGATTCTCAGATATCCCAGGATCCCGCCAGGAGGACAAGTAACCATTGACATCAGCCGCCACAAGCCGCGTGTAGGGAGAGTAGTGGGGCACAAGGTGCTGCAGTCTCACCTGAGAGCTCGGCGCAATCCTTGCTGTTCATTGTAAATAGTTGGACATCTCGGGGAGCGGAGAAGAGTTGTTCGGGCCCACAAGTTACCCCAATTTCCAGAGCTCTGTCAGACAACCAGAGAAAAGAGGGCAGTTAGAGGACAATGTAGCTGTGGAGAAGACATTTAAGGGAGAACTCTAGACTTTTAAAATGTTAGTTTTGTACAAAACAAAGACGGGTTAGAAGCAGACATTGTATTTAATAGATGTGTCCTTGGTTGGGAGATCACCCCTCACTTCCTGGTTACCTGAACCTTTTTTTTTTGTCATTTGTCCATCTCTGTAGTCTGTATTTGCGGAGTTGTGGTAAATGTGGATCTTTTTACGTTCCATCTCAGAAATCGTATGTCAGCCTCTATGGCAGGATGTAAAGTGAATGCTGGGAAAAGCAACAGGCTGACCTCAAAGCCTCGTTCACATCGGAGTACTTAAGCGTTCAACCACATGAGCCGGCCTTTGCTCACATGGGATACAGAGGTGTCCAGTGCATCCAGTACAGGCAGTCCCATTCATGTCAACTGGGAGACAGACACAGCCGCTGGGTCCCAATCTGACATCCGTGTGGGTGTGTGTATCCAAACCTATGCGGTCTTCATCCAGGGACACGCACCCACGCTGATGAAACAATTGGGAGCAGCGGCTGTGTAGAGGCAGCCACTGCTTCCCGACCGGCATGGAATGCCTGCAGAGAACACCTAAAGGCCCTCACATGGATGTACACCTGTGTAGAGGTGGCCTAGAGGGAAATGTAACCCCCTACCCCCACATTTATTACATTTAACACCCCTGGGTTGTCCTCATTTCAGATACTTACCTACCCAGTGGATCCAGCCTTGTCCTGCTGTGACCTCTCAGGTCTCCCTGCTGCCATCTTCCTTTTTGATGTCATCAACCGTTCGATATCTGCCATCCCTCTCTGCCAAGCCCTCCACTGGCCTCCACCCCTCTCTGCCAAGCCCTCCACTGGTCTCCACCCCTCTCTGCCAAGCCCTCCACTGGTCTCCACCCCTCTCTGCCAATCCCTCCACCCCTCTCTGCCAAGCCCTCCACTGGCCTCCACCCCTCTCTGCCAAGCCCTCCACTGGCCTCCACCCTCTCTGCCAAGCCCTCCACTGGCCTCCACCCCTCTCTGCAAATCCTTCCACTGACCTCCACCCCTCTCTGCCAAGCCCTCCACTGACCTCCACTCAGTGTCCTCCATCCCTCTCTGCCAATCCCTCCACTGGCCTCCACAACTCTCTGCCAATCCCTCCACGCAGTGTCCTCAACCCCTCTCTGCCAATCCCTCCACTGGCCTCCACTCAGTGTCCTCCACCCTTCTCTGCCAATCCTTCCACTGGCTTCCCATTGTCCAACAAATAAAGTTCAAAACATTAACAATAACATATAAAGCCATTTATAACTCCGCCCCAAATTACATCACCAATCTTGTCGCCAAATATCACCCAAACCGTCCTCTCCACTCCTCCCATGGCCTCCTGCTCTCTAGCTCCCTTGTCTCCTCCTCCCATGCTCATCTCCAGGACTTCTCCAGAGCCTCTCCCATCCTCTGGAACTCTCTACCCCAATCTATCCGACTATCGCCTATTCTGCCCACTTTTAGGCGATCTCTGAAAACCGATCTCTTCAGGGAAGCCTATCCTGCCCTCAGCTAATAATGGAATCTTCTATTCCTCCTATCACTCCATCTCCATCAGTTATTACCTTTTGTACCACTAGCCCCTCCCTCTTAGATTGTAAGCTCCCAGGATCAGGGCCCTCCTATCCCCTCTTGTATTGACCTGTATTGTTGCTGTATTGTCTCCCGTTATATTTAGAGCGCTGAGCAAACTGTTGGCGCCATAAATCCTGTATAATAATAATAATAATAATAATAATCAGGTATAGGCTGTCTCTTCCATGTTTAGGCAGAGGCCTACTCATTACACACACCCTGATCCTTTCATAAATTGGAGCCGATGCTCATATTCCTGCCGCCTTAGTCTCCAATGGGGTCTGGGATGGAACAATGTCCTCCTGAGATAAGCACATGACCTGTCCCAGGAGGGTCCGGCAATGGAGCACATCATTCCATGCCAGACTATACTGGAGACCAATGGCCCGTACACACAAGAAAACATTTTATATGAGGACCGATCATCCAATAATCTGATTGTTCGTAAATAGCTTTCGAGAGCCGATCGCGACAATATCCGAAGGGACAAGCGCAAAAAAGTTTCTCATATTATTTATTTCAGGTACTTATATAGCGCTGTCAATTTACGCTGCGATTTACATATATATTGTACATTCACATCAGTCCCTAACCCTCAAGGGGCGTACAATCTAAGGTCCCTAACCCTCAAGGGGCGTACAATCTAAGGTCCCTAACCCTCAAGGGGTGTACAATCTAAGGTCCCTAACCCTCAAGGGGCGTACAATCTAAGGTCCCTAACCCTCAAGGGGCGTACAATCTAAGGTCCCTAACCCTCAAGGGGCGTACAATCTAAGGTCCCTAACTCTCAAGGGGCGTACAATCTAAGGTCCCTAACCCTCAAGGGGTGTACAATCTAAGGTCCCTAACCCTCCAGGGGTGTACAATCTAAGGTCCCTGACTCACATTCATACATACACATACTAGGAACAATTTAGACAGGAGCCAATTCACCTCCCAGCATGTCTTTGGAGTGTGGGAGGAAACCGGAGTACCCGGAGGAAACCCATGCAGGCACAGGGAGAACATGCAAACTCCACGCAGGTGGTGCCGTGGCTGGGATTCGAACCAATGACCCGAGTACTGCCAGGGGGAAGTGCTAACCCTTTAGCCACTGTGCTGCCCTAAATGTGTCATATGACACCGGATCGTCCAAAAATGCAATACAATATTTCACTTTCTAAATGTTTTTTGTTTCATACGAGACTTTGCAGAAGTTTAGTATCCTTTTCATTTTCAACATGGAGACTAGCAGCAAAAAAACCCCCAAAAAACGTTTGATCATTCGTCAGACATTCTTATCGTATGTACGGGGCATTAGGCGGCAGGAAGATGACAAAATAAAGAAAAAAAATTAAATACATTTTAAAAATAAAACAAGACCGGGGGCAGGGCGGGGTAGGGGAGGAAAGCTGCATTTTACAACTAAATTCCACTTTACTGCGGAACTAAACCCTCCTATCCTTCACAGCCAAGGAAGCCGCCATCTTGGCCTCTGTCTGATCTTCAGCTGCCAGGGTGCTGCACATGTGGTCAGTTATGACACCAGCCATCTGAGTTTGGTTGAGAGCACAAGCAACTGTGACACATTCATTCACAGCATGCCTTGAATGTAACTGTTTTGGAAACAGTCTGAGTGAGTTTAGTTCCACTGTAAGACCACCCCTGCAGTTCCTTACATTGCTCCTCCCTTCACTCCTCCGCTAATCCATTGGGCTACCAGGAAGCCCCAACTTGTCCTGATCTGTAGCTTAGGCAGAGCAAAGTCCTCCTCCCACCCCGCCACCATGGACAGTGGTGGGTGCCAATACGCCGACTGCATGTGCTGCCACATAGGAAGAAGAGGAGCTAGTCGCATGCAAACGCCTCCATATCTGAAAGGACTGGATGACATCACCCCGCTTCCCCGGGTGAATGCAGCAGCAGGAGATCAGAGGGGGAGGAGCAGAAGCAACTGAGGGAGGCACCTTGTTGCCCTGGGAAACAGACAGTGATCATTATGGTAACAAATTAACTCAACAATTCTTATTTAAAGTGTCACTAAACCCCCAACAGTACAATCAGTCTGTAGATGCAGTAAAGCATGCTTGTTATACTTGTTATAAAGCATGTTAAAGCATGCTTGTTTATACTCACTGTGGAACCTAAGGGGTTAATCCTCTGCATTGTATAAAAAACGTTGTTTTGATCCTGACTTCTCTGATCCTCCCCTTTTTCCAGTGCCCCCCTCATCTCCTGATAAGACATATACTGTGGCGTCCCTCTGCACATGCTCAGTTTGGTGTGTAGTGCTAAAGAGGTTTATATCTTTTCTTGGGAGAGTACATGTGATCAGCAGAGGGCCAATGAGCACTGTCCAGACAGAGGTCAGGGGCCCTGCGTCCTCCTGGAGCAGAATGAAAACTCCGCCTACAAGCTTTAACCAGTGCTCAGCTGTGTCCATATATATTTGGACACAGGCACAATTTTAGTTTTTTTCAGGTATTTTCCAAAACATATTCAAGCTCTAGTTCTATAATGGATATGGGCGGACAGTGCGCACTCTCAGGTGTAATTTGAGGGTATGTACATCCAGATTGGAGGAAGAGTTTAGGAATTACAGCTCTTAAGAGTAGCCATCCACCCCTTTTTCAAGGGACCAAAAGTAATTGGACAGTTGAATATAATCATAAATAAAATGTTCATTTGTAATATTTTGTTGAGAATCCTTTACTGGCAAAGAGTGCCTGAAGTCTGGAACCCATGGACATGACCAAAGACTGGGTTTCCTCCTTTCTGATGCTTTGCCTGAAGTCTGGAACCCATGGACATGACCAAAGACTGGGTTTCCTCCTTTCTGATGCTTTGCCTGAAGTCTGGAACCCATGGACATGACCAAAGACTGGGTTTCCTCCTTTCTGATGCTTTGCCTGAAGTCTGGAACCCATGGACATGACCAAAGACTGGGCTTCCTCCTTTCTGATGCTTTGCCTGAAGTCTGGAACCCATGGACATGACCAAAGACTGGGTTTCCTCCTTCCTGATGCTTTGCCAGGCTCTAACTGCAGCTGTCTTCAGTTGTTCTTTGTGGGTCTTTCTGCCTTTAGTTTTGCCTTCAGCAAGTGAAATACACGCTCAGTGGGGTTGAGATCAGGTGATTGACTCAGCCATTGCAGAATATTCCACTTCTTTTCCTTCAAAAGCTTCTGGGTTGCTTTTGCAGTGTGTTTTGGATCATTGTCCATCTGTACTGTGAAGCGCCGTCCAATCAACTTTGCTGCATTTGGCTGAATCTGGGCTGACAGTATATCTCTAAACACTGTAGAACCGGCTTCTTCTGTCCTCTGTCACATCATCAATAACCACCAATGACCCAGTGCCACTGGAAGCCATGCATGCCTATGCCATCACCCTGCCTCCACCATGGTTTACAGATGACGTTGTGTGCTTTGGGTCATGAGCTGTTCCAAGCCTTCTCCACACCTTTTTCTTCCCGTCATTTTGGTACAGATTCTTCGTAGTTTCATCCGTCCAAAGAATGCTTTTCCAGAACTGGTCCAGCTTTTTTAAAGGCAAATTTGTCTTTATTATGTTTTCAACAGCTTAACAGTACATGGCATGGAGGAAAAATGAAAACAGGTACATAAGAAAAGCCATCGCACAAATGTAACAATGATTCATGTGAAAAGGTGAAAATAGTTCCATTAAAAAAAAAAACAAAAAAAAAAAACGAGAAATGTAAGGATCAATAACATAATGGCATGTATTACAGAGATATGAATAAATATCATGTTGAGGAGGGCATCCACGATGAGATGTAGGAGACAAAATGAGCTAGTTCTGTATAAACTAGAACATGAATCAGAATCCAAATGAAAACAAAAAAAACAAAAAACAAAAAAAAAAAAAAAAAAGGGGGGGGGGGGGGGGAGAAAAATGGGAGAAGAGAAAAAAACTGGTCTGACTTTTTTAGATGTGTTTTGGAAAAGTCTAATCTGGCTTTTCTGTTCTTCAGACTTATGAATGGTTTGCACCTTGTGGTGAATCCTCTGCATTTGCTCTCGTGAAGTCTTCTCCTGATTGTAGACTTTGACAATGATACGCCCACTTCCTGGAGAGTGTCCTTCACTTGTCTGGATGTTGTGAATGGGTTTGTCTTTACCATAGAGAGGATGAGAGGATCCACCACTGTTGTCTTCCGTGGACGTTCATGCCTTTTTATGTTCCTGAGCTCACCAGTGCGTTCTTCTTTCCTCAGAATGGACCAAACTGTTGATTTGGCCACTCCTAATGTTGCTGTGATCTCTCTGATGGATTGGTTTCATTTTTGAAGCCTTACAATGGCCGGTTTCTCTTGCATGGACAGCTCCTTTGAACACATGATGGAGGTTCACAGCAATAGATTCCAAATGCAAATCCTGCACTTAGAATCAACTCCAGACCTTTTACCTGCATAATTGATGAACTAACGAAGGAGTAGCCCACACCTGGCCATGAAAAAGCTTTTG